ATGTCGATCTACCCGAGCGGGTATACCTACGCTCCTAGGATCACACAGTGGAAGGGAGAGCTCGCCGGTCGGAGCTCCGACCGGGGGATGCGTATGGCGTCGAGGGTGTTGACGTAGAGGATGTTGAGGCCACTGCCTCCATCCATCAGCATCTTGGTGAGGCACTTCTTGTGGACGATGGGGTCGACGATGAGTGGGTAGCATCCCGATCTAGCGACGTGGGATGGATGGTCCCTCTGGTCAAAGGTGATCGGAGATTCCAACCAGCGAAGGAAGCAGGGGACGGCCGTTTTGGCGACGCACGCCTCTTGGTAGCACACTTTGTGCTGGTGCTTGGAGTAGACAGCATCGGATCCCCTGAAGATCATGATGCATTCCTTGGGGTCGGGGAAGCCATCCCCGTCCTTGCTCACCATGCCTCCTTTCTTGGTTGCTGCCTCTTTGCCCTTTCCTTCTTTTGACCTGCCATCGTGTCGTAGGAAACACTTGTGGAGCTTGTAGTCCTTGTAGAGGTGCTTGATGGGGTAAGCATGGTTGGTGCATGGGCTATCCATGAGCTTGTCGAAGTGGTCAAGCAGGCCCTACTGGGGCTGCTTGCCTGCGTGATCAGCTACGGCGACCAACATGGAGTTGGCCTGTCGACGTCGATCCTTCTTATTCTTTTTGCCCCTCTGTGTGGAGGGGCCCTCATCTTGGTCCTCATGCTTGGCCTTGCCTTTGTCCCGCCTACGTTGAAGACCGCTTCATCCGCCTCCTCGCCAGAGGTGTGGTTCATGGTGATGTCAAGCAGGTCGCGGGTGGTACGGGGCTTTAGGCAGCTAAGCTTGTGGATCAGGGACTCGCAGGTTGTCCTAGAGAGGAATGCACTGATGACGTCCGCATCGACAACATCAGGATGGGAGTTGCACCGCTTCGAGAACCTATAGATGTAATCCCATAGGGACTCGTTGCTCTGCTAGGCTCTTGAGGTCCTGGGAGCAGGCGGACATATGTCTCTTGAGGTCAGGAGATCCTCTTTGTGGCGGACATAAGTCCCGAGAGGAATGCCATGCTGACATGTTCCCCCATGTCGGGGGGTCAATGACCATGCTGGCTCGGCAGGGTGCATTTCACTAGTCTCCCTATATTTGCGATGTCCGGCCGGAGTCTTTGTGGGAGCGGCGGTCTGGATGCCTCACCAAGGCCCGATGGATGTCATCATCATCGTTGGACTCGGTCGATGACCATGCCTAGGTGCGCTTGGTCCCTCGATGCTACGCGAGCATCTTGGTTCGCCCGACCGGCGATGTCAGCGTACTTTGGACTCGGCACCGGTTCTTGGTGGAGCATCTTGGTTCGCCCGAGGCGGTGATGTCTTGGCTATGGTGTGGGCGGAGGTGGGGTCGAGCTATGGCCATTGCGCCCCCATTCCACGCCCCTCGGCCGTAGTGGTGAGCGGGTGGAGCGGTTGGACTAGCCCATTCCCCTAGTAGGGAAAGAGGCCGTGAGTCGGTGGTGCGACACGGAGCTTTTCGCTTGTTGAACGGTGGCGGTTTCCACCAGTGCCCAGAGGTTCTAGTGGATCGCCTGTTCCTGGGGGTTGTCCGGCTCGAGAAGGCCGCGTAGAAGCATTGCTGCGGCGGCGATGTTCTGTCCAACCTAAGCAAACTATGGGGGATCGTTCCCCCCATCCATGATGTTGCGCTGGACCTGGCGAGCGTGACCCTAGGCGTCGCTTGCCGGGTTACGCACACGGGGTGCATCATGGTGTGCCGAGCGCACCGGCGTAGGTGGTGGCTGGTTCTGCCGCCTTTGTCATAGCTCCTCGCCGTGCTCCTAGGCACATGCGAGGGCATCCGCGCGAGGGTCCAAAGGGGTGTGGGTTTGTAGAGACTTCGCCACCACCGGTGGGGGTGGCTATCTGGAGCGTCTGCCATAGCGCACTCCCAAGACAGAGGGTGGCTAGGTGCCACGACGTCGCCAATGTTGGAGCCATCGCTCTCAACATCATCATCCATGAGGTCGTGAAAAGAGGCGGGAGCGTTGTCCGCCATCCCCATGAATTTGGATGTGAGAGGGTGCGGTGTACGTGTCCGCGGGGACATGAGGCCATAGGGGAATCGGTCGTGCGACGGTCGCGGCAGGGACAACGGGGTCCCTTCGGAGAATCAGCGAAAGATAATAAATAGCGAGTAAATAACAAAGCGTACGTTACTCATAGTTGGGTTTGAGCCCTGTGCGGGCTCGTAGCGAAGCGTAGGCGCCTCATCGTTGAAGTCGTCGTGAGTCCCGGAGCCGACGGAGGGTGCCCCTCCGACGGGCGCCGGAACAAGTGCCTCCTCGAGGAGGCGCAGCACGCCGAGCCGGCGGCGACGAAGTCTAGGCTTCCGAAGAGAAAGGCCTAGGATGGCTCAAAGACGGGTGGAACCCATATCCCAACAGGTGGGAGTGTGGGAAACTCTAGTGAGTCGAAGCGAGTCGTATCGCTTGAGCCCGCCATGGCAAAGATGGCGGAAAATTGGGCCATCCGATGACCAAAAGTGTGAACGTACAAGCGTCCTCCCCATAAGACGACGCCAATTGTCGGTGTAGAAAGTGACCAACACATAAATATTTATAGTTTTGCCATACGTTGTGATCGGATGTGGCCTAGCACTCAATGACACAGGGTTTATACTGGTTTAGGCAACGTGCCCTACGTCTAGTTTGAGTCGGTCGGTAACTTTATTCCTGAGCCTAGGTGCTTGAAGTTTGTTGTGGGGTTACAAACGAGAGGGAGAAAGATGGAGGTGCAAGAGGTCCGGTCGGACTCCGAACTGAAGGGCCGAGAGTGACGGGAGCTCTTATGTGTGCTAAGTATTCGAGCGTGTGCTCTGTGTAGCTTTAGAGTGTCTAAAGCTAACAGAGGGTGAAACGATCGTTGGTTATTTGAATCGTTTGAGTCCTTGTTGGAGTTGTTGGAGTTGTTTCTCATATTGGGTGAGAGCGCATCCCCTTTTATAGATGAAGGAGACGGCCTTACAGGAGAGAGAGAAGTACGTATGCTACTAAGTCTTGTTGTCCATGCCATCGGGTACAAGATAATTGTAGGCGCCCATAACACTGTTTATGTCAAATGCATATGGGAGGTTTTACCGTATTCATCATGTATGATAAACGACGGCGCCCACAACAATGTTGATGCCCAGAGGCATGTGGGGGTTTTACCATATTCGCCTGGTAGGGAAATTTATGGTGCCCACAACACTATAGGGCAAACGTCGGCGCCCACAAGACTGCTTGGGTTCTGACATGCCTGGAAGGTTGTAGGGCACCCTTCTAACATGCCATGTCGGTACTATCCTGCAGGTGTACAGGTACGGTCCTTGGTATTGCGGTTGACTGAGCGTCCTGCCTTACTTGCTCCGCCCGTTTACTGGGTCCTCATCGAGCGGGCGTCCCCGGTCGGTTGGTCCTAGTCGGCTCCGACTACACCAGTCGGAGAAGAGTTGTAAGCAGAGGTTCGGTGCATCCTCGGTCGGAGACACGGGTCGGAGTCAGAAGCGGCGTTTGGCCAGGCCTTCCGATCGGAGAGACGGGCCGGAGTCGGAAGCGAGCGTCGTTCCTCTTTGGCCAGGCCTTCCGGTCGGAGAGGCGGGCCGGAGTCGGAAGTGAGCGTTGTCCTTTCCTTGGCCAAGCCTTCCGGTCGGAGAGGCGGGCCGGGTCGGAAGCGAGCGCCGTTCCTCCTTGGTTAGGCCTTTCGGTCGGAGAGGCAGGCCGGGGTCAGAAACGAGCGCCGTTCCTCTTTGGCCAGGCCTTCCGGTCGGAGAGGCGGGCCGGAGTCGGAAGCGAGCGCCGTTCCTCCTTGGCCAGGCCTTCCAAACACAGAACGATATGAATGAATCATGATAGATGTGTCCGTATTATTGCTAAGCTTTAACTGTTTTATTGTGCCTATCGATTTACAAGAAAAAGGTGGCTAATAAACCAATATATTTTTAGTTACCTCAGCGATGAAGATAAACTGTCTTGACACGGTCACCTTTGCCATGGTCAAAGAGAATATTTTAGAGAAATAGATGAAAATGATGTGGCTGACGAACCAAAAAAAACTCATAGATGTATATAAGAAAAACTTAGGGTGGAATATATAGCAAATTAATAAAAAAACATCTCGGTCCCAACGTTCGTCCACCTAAAGATGGCAGCGGGGTGGGTCTAAACCCGAAACCTGTGGGTTTCAGATCCGACAGGGGACGGGTTCAGATTTCGCCCCGTGGGTTTGCGGGTTTGGGTACCCGAAACGGGGCGAGGTGGAGGCGGGTTTTAACTCTTCTCCGCGGGTGCCCGTTGGGGACCCGAAATGTAAGCCATCCAGTGAAAAAAGTCCCGAGGAGCGGCCCATTGACCTGTAACTATATGTAACAAAAGCCCACCAAGCGCGGCCCACTGACTCTTCTTCTCCTCCCTCTTCCCCTCCCGTGCCGTAGCCGAACGCCCGCCGCCACTCACTTCCGCACCCCGCTCCCGCACAGGCGCCTCCGTCCAGCCTGGTCCGCTGGCCGTCCTGCTGGCCCTCCGCCCTCTGAATCATGACACTGGGTGGACTACCACCGCCGCCGCCCCTACCCAGGTGGTGAGGCCTTTGCCTACCTCTTCGCCGGCGATGAGCGCCCACCAGGTATTCCCACCCCCTTTTCTCTTTCATGTCTGCTGTGCGAAACCGAGTTTTCGATTTTTTTAAAAAAAATTGAGTTCTCAAACTGTAACCTACTATTTAGCTATTTGATGCCTACTAACTTATAACTTTTTGCAAAAATTATTGGTTGTATATGTGTACACCCATGTTCCTTTACTAGATCCGCCCCTGATTTGATGCCTACTAACTTTTTGCAAAAATTATTGGGTGTACATGTGTACACCCATGTCCCTTTACTAGATGTCTAGATCCGCCCCTGGGTTGGGGGAGGGTCCACAACGAATGACACTTTGATCTGTGTACCTTCTGATTCTTCTGAACGGAGGCAGTATTTGCTAACGCCATGTCCTTGCAGGCATCGTGTATTGGGGCCATGGCAATAGCGGATTTGATTAAGACCACATTGGGACCAAAGGGAATGGTATGCTTTTGAAACATATTGTTTATGTCTTACAGAGAAACCCTGCACTTTACATGAATGATACCAGTTTTTCACTCTTTATAGTTTTTCTTGTTGAAAAATTGCAAGTGCCATTTTTTTTTTGCTTATGTAGGACAAGATCCTGCAATCAACTGGCAGAGGGCGTAATGTTACTGTTACAAATGATGGGGCTACCATTCTGAAGTCGCTTCACATTGACAATCCTGCTGCAAAGGTCCTTGTTGGTATCCTTTGTCAATTTGATTACTGCTTGACGATAGTGTTGGTAAGGTGGTAATAGGAACCCCCCCACCTAAATTAATTACGTGGCATGCCATTTTAGCAAGTTTTGGGTCCACCCAATGGCCCAAACAAGTAGAGCTTGCAACCTTGTTGGGGTTGAGGTTTTATAATTTCTCTTGATCTTTCATGGTATTGATCTTAAACTTCATATTGTACTTGTGACCTCATTGGGCCCCTCTTTTGTACAATTAATTTTTTTCCTAATTCCTAATGAAAGAAAGGCCAGTTACTCATTAATGATTGTTAGACATCTCGAAAGTTCAAGATGATGAAGTTGGCGATGGGACAACTTCTGTCGCTGTTCTAGCTGGAGAACTTTTGAAGGAGGCTGAGAAGTTAATTAACATGAAAATTCATCCGATGACTATTATTGCAGGTATTACTTTCTGAATGCGTTCTGGTTAATAGTATGCTTTTCCATCCTTAACATTGGAAAGCTTGGTAATTATTGTAGCAGGTCATGTTACTTGGTCTTGCTTGCATCAATACCATAGTAACAAATCAAATAGATCAGGCATACAATACAAGGTCTAAGGATGGATGCTGCTGTTAAGCCATTCAAAATTTGAGATGCGGCTTCCTTCTTTTTTACAATTCATATTTTCAGATTAATCTACCAATTTTTTTAGTAATAATAATGTATAGGCAGTGCGTTGATGAAAGCCGGACAGGAGTGAATCAGAAACTAGAGTTATGGCGGGAGACTTTGGAGTCCAAAGGTTTTAGACTCAGTAGAACTAAAACTGAGTATATGAGATGTGACTTCGGCACTACTACTCGGGAGGAGGAAGATATTAGTTTGGAAGGTCAAGTAGTGCCCAGGAAGGATACATTTCGATATTTAGGTTCAATGCTACAGAGAGACGGGGATATTGATGAAGATGTTAGCCATAGAATTAAAGCAGGGTGGATGAAGTGGCGGCAAGCATCTGGTGTCCTACGTGACAAAAGGGTACCACAGAAGCTAAAAGGCAAGTTTTATAGGACGGCGATTAGACCTGCTATGTTGTATGGTGCAGAATGTTGGCCTACGAAAAGACGACATGTTCAACAGCTAAGTGTCGCGGAAATGCGTATGTTGCGTTGGATTTGCGGTCACACAAGAAGGGATCGAGTTCGGAACGATGATATACGTGATAGATTAGGGGTAGCACCAATTGAAGAAAAGTTTGTCCAACACCGGTTGAGATGGTTTAGACATGTGCAACGAAGACCTCCAGAGGCACCGGTGCGTAGTGGAATCCTGAGCCAAGATAGTAACGTGAAGAGAGGTAGAGGAAGATCGAAGTTGACTTGGGTAGAGGCAATAAAAGGAGACTTGAAAGGATGGAATATACCTAAAGACTTAGCCTTAGATAGGAGTGCTTGGAAGACAGTTATTCACGTGCCTGAACCTTGATTGCTTCTGCTGGGTTTCAACTCTAGCCTACCCTAACTTGTTTGGGACTTAAAGGCTTTGTTATTGTTGTTGTTGTTGTTGTTGAATGTATAGGCAGTGCACTGGTGTTCTGATTCTAATCTGTCTTGGGTAGCCTGTTTTATACCGAGCTAACTAGTATGCATTCTGGAGCACTACTAGTATGCATTCTAGAGCACTGCTGCAAAACTACGACCATTGTTCTTTATGACGGGATTTAATGTCTCCAATGGTTAATTCATTTGGTAAATTTTAGGGTACAGAATGGCTCTCGAGTGTGCCAGAGATACTTTGCTACAAAAGACCATGGACAACAAAGAAAATACAGGTGAATTATTTTCCCAATCTCATGGTTAGAAAGCATAATTTTTCAGTATCCATAAGACACTGGCTTATTTGAGCCATTGTTTTCCTTAACAATATATATGTATTTTGCATAGCCCTTAGGATTTGACATCATTGAGAATTTGTTATGTTAGAGTAAATTCAATCTCATATAAATTCAAATTCACTTCCTCTTGCATCTCATGGATTCTCTCAGGAATATGCCATCAATCAAAGTTCCGCTAGGCGCTCGCCTAGGTGCGCCTAGGCGCGATTAAGCGCTAATCGACGGCCCTCCGCGTAGACTAGGGTGTAGTCGCAGTCCTAGGCGGGAGCAGCGACTAGGCGGCGCAAATCGGCGCGCCTCGGCGGCGATTCATGCATGCTGGGAAGGCGGACGACTTCAACGGCGAAATTTTTTGTCCGCCATGAAGCCTTGCACGCTTATGGCGTCTGGCGCGGGAAAGGATCTTGGCAGGAAGGAGAAGAGGAAAAGGTCCGCCCCGCTCGATTCTTGCCTTCCAAGTCCTGAGATAGCCGCTCGGCCACTCCGCTCGCCTCCTCTCCTCCTTCTGGCAGGGCCGGGAGGGAAGCTCCACCCGCCGGCCCCGCCGGTCGCCCTGCTCCCCGCGACCCCGCCTGGAGGCTTGTCCCGGCCGGCCTCCTCTACCCCGCCTGGAAGCTGCTGCCCCGCCTCCTCTGCCCCGCCTGGAAGCTGCTTTGCCCCGCCTCCTCCGCCCCCGCTTGAGGCTTGTCCCGGCGTGGCCTCCTCTGCCCCACTGAATGCCCCGCCTCCTCTTCCCCGCCTGGAACCTGCAGCACCAAGGTCAGGCCCCTCCCCTGCTCCTCTCCTCCATGTCCTCTGTTTTGAATGCATCCCCTGCTTCTCTCCTCTGATTTGAATGCCTGTGATTAGAACAGCCATCCAGCACTGGCAAATTGTGATCATGCCTATATCTAGGTACATGAAGCAAAGTTTTTATGTACAGATCACAGGTTCCTAATGACATTACTAGACATTTGTTGATTTTTTTCTCCATAGCAAGTGATGCACTGAATAAGTGATGAACCATTCCTAGACATGAAGAATGCAGAGTCTAGAACTCAAAATTATCACAACAAAATGTAGCAAGCAGTTAGTAACTAGCTAGGGAAGAGATGTTCTAATCTCATTGTAAATTGGATGTTCCAAGCTCCACTGCTTGATCACCAATGAGTTGATCTGATTTTGCCTGCTGTGAATGCCCATTGTCTAAATGTAGGATGTCTACAACAGAGGGTGCACTAGGTGAGGGAGAAAATAGTGAGTCAGCGAATCTCCTGAAAAGGAATTCGGATGATGTTGGATGGGAGTATGGTGTTCTTGTTGATCCTAACAACAAGGACAAGGTGAAGTGCAAGCTTTGTAAGAAGGAGATGAGGGGAGGGATTTATAGGTTGAAGCAGCATTTGGCTCATGAGGGAAAGAATGTGAAGAAATGCACGGCTACAACAGTGCAAGCCATGGAGGCTAAACAGAAGTGCAAGAAAGCACTAGATGAGGCAAAAAGGAAGAGGGAGGAGAAGACTATTCGTGAGCTAGAACTTAGAGAGGAAGTTAATGTATCTAGGGTTGGAGAGTCAGATGAAGTCACTTGTGTTGGAAGTTCAGAGCCTCACAAATTAGGACCCATGGACAAATGGACACGTGCTATTGATCCTAAAGCTACCAAGACTGATTCTTTGAAGCAACAGCAGCTGAACAAGGAACTTTGGAAAGAAAGAACACATGAGGTGCATAAGTATATTGCAAGATGGGCCTATACACATGGTAAATTGCTAGTATACTCTTCTGTACTTACATTACATGATCACTAATTCATTAGATGTTATTCCTGATCACTAATTAGGCTTTTTTTAACATTGGCAGCAATACCTTTCAATGCATGTGACAATGATGAGTTTAAGCAAATGTGTGAAGCAATTGGTCAGTTTGGTCCAGGACTTGTACCTCCATGTCAAGATTCACTTCGAGAGAGATTGTTGGAAGAAGAATATGAAAGAACCAAGAGTCTGCTGCAGGAACGTGAAGCCGAGAAGTTCAAAAATGGGTGCTCTATTATGACCGATGCTTGGTCAGATAGGAAGAGGAGAAGCATAATGAATCTGTGCACCAATTGTGCTGATGGAACCTCCTTCATCAGCTCTAAGGAGATGTCATATGTCTCACATACCAGTGAGGTCATCTTTGATCTTGTGGACAAAGCAATTGAAGAGATTGGTCCAGACAATGTGGTACAAGTAGTGACTGACAATGCCTCTAACAACATGGGAGCAAAAAGGCTATTGGAAGAGAAGAGACCACACATATTTTGGACCTCTTGTGCAGCTCACACAATCAACCTTATGCTCCAAGGAATTGGCAACTTGACTCGGTTCAAGAAAGTGGTTGACCAAGCAAAGGCATTTAACATATTTGTCTATGGCCACACAAGGACATTGGAGTGCTTGAGATACTTCACAGAGGGGAAAGAGGTAGTGAGGCCAGGAGTGACTAGGTTTGCTTCAAACTTTCTCACTTTGAGTAGCATGCAAGAGAAGAAGGACCAGTTAAGGAAGATGGTGGTTCATAGTAGGTGGGACTCATTGAAGGATGTGAAATCAAAGAAAGGAAAAGAGGCAACAGCAACTATATTGAGTCCAAGCTTTTGGAAGGATGTGAAGCTAACATTGACTGTTTTTGAGCCATTGGTCAAAGTCCTCCGTTTGGTTGATGGGGATGTGAGGCCATCCATGGGTTTCCTTTATGGACAACTACTAAAGGCAAAGAGACAGATCAAAGAGGCCTTTGTAAATGTTGAGGCTCGGTTCAAGGATGTAATAGCTGTTATTGACAAGAAGATGAATGGAAGACTTAATTCTCCATTGCATTTGACAGCCTATTTGCTGAATCCTCACTATAGCTATAGTGACCTATCAATCTTTGATCAGCCCAAAATATCAGAAGGGTTTATATCTTGTGTTGAGAAAATTTTTTATCATGATGAGGACATGCAGCACATGGCTGCCAACATTGAACTAAAGAAGTTTCAGAATAGAGAAGGACCATTTAGCAAGAAGCTTGCTAGGAAATTTAAAAACTTTGATTACAACCCAGGTAGAGGTACTTCCTATGGCTCATGGCTGTTTGTTGTTTGCTGTTTTCTAAACTAATAGAGGTGTTTTTTTATTTCAGCATCATGGTGGAGACTGTATGGATATGAAACACCAGCTTTACAGAAGATGGCTACAAGGATCCTATCTTTGACATCAAGCTCTTCTGGTTGTGAAAGAAATTGGAGTGGGTTTGAAGGGGTTAGTACCTAACTACCTATCTATTATGAACATGTTTCAGGCTTTCAGCAGCATTACAATTTAATTGTAGAACTGAGAATGCTCTTTTTAAATTGTAGATACACACTAAGAAGAGGAATAGGCTTACTACAACCCGCCTCAACAAGCTGGTGTATATCCAATTCAACTCCAAGCTGCTTAGTAAGAGACAAAAGATCAAGTCAAACAAAATCACTGAGATACTTTAGTCTAGTGATACAACTGAAGCTCAAGGTTTTCTCCAAGAGGGTGGGGATGATTGTGCATTAGCTGACTTTAGAGATGAGGAGGAAGATGAGATGGAAGGTACCGGGATACCTTGGTCTGTCATTGGAGAGGCAGTGGGAGCAGATGAACAGCTTGAGCTGCGTAGAAGTGCAAGAGTGAGGGAGCTTTATGAAGGAGAAGAATTTGAGTCTGAAGAAGAAGAATATGACGATGAGGATGTGAACTACAGTGACGAAGAAATATGAACTGCAGCTTGTATTGTACTGTCCTTTAGTTATAAATTGTGTTGTGCAGCTTGTATTGAACTACAGTGAGTGAGGGAACTATGTGCTTGTGCTGTCCTTTATTTATAAATTGTGTTGTGCACTTGTATTACTGTCCTATCCACTTGTATTGTAATTACCAGCTGCTGATATGGTGTGCTCATGAATGGGAGGCTGCTGAAATCATCCAGATAAGTCACAACTTAGTGTTTTCTATTTTGTTTTGGATGACCAGCTAGCTGTCTATTGACTAATTTACTAACTACTGGCTGTCAAAATGTGTTGCAGGAGGCAGGAGCTAGGAACATGCAAGAAAGTAAGAGTAAGCCAGCTAGGAATCAGATATGTCTGCTGCCCTCTTTTTCTACTTACTCATTACTGTGACTCATATAGTCATATAGTAGTTATATACATATATATAGTTATATACATAATATATATATAATTTATGGCTATATTGCCAAAAGCGCCTAGGAAAAGTAGAATTCAATCTCATACGGAAATTCAAATTAGGCGCTAGGCAATGGGTCAGCGTCTAGATTCCGCCTAGCGCCTAGCTGAACTTTGGCCATCATGCTCATCAATCTCATGCCAATATCCTTTTCCTTCTTCTGCAGATAAGTTCAGAACTGATCTCATGAATATTGCTATGACTACTCTTAGTTCAAAAATACTTTCCCAAGACAAGGAGTACTTTGCTGAACTTGCGGTTGATGCTGTCTTGAGGCTTAAGGTATACAAATAGTTTAATGAAAGTTGGTTATCATTTACGTTAAACTCTGATATCTTTATCTGAAAAGGTATGGTTCATACTTCATAGCTACTCAGCATGTTGTTATACTTATAGTATTGACTGGTTTCTATCTGAATGGTGGCAGGGTAGCACCAACTTGGAATCTATTCAAATTCTGAAGAAACCTGGAGGATCTCTTAAGGATTCCTTTTTGGACGAAGGGTATGTATTTATGGAAAATTTGTCAATTGATTCTTTTGACCACACAGCACTGGGCTGCATGCAAATTCTCTCACCTTGCACCAAGTTCTCCTTTCTTTCTGTCAATTAATCAGTCCAACCTAAGAGCCCAATTCAATTATTTTCTGTTTTTTTATCAATAATCTAACCAGTTAGCATTAGCGCTACATTTTCTAAATGTGCTCATTTACCAGCCAAATAAAGTAGGAATATCGATTTGACATTTTGGCTACTTAACTAGTCCTTAATCAAACATGTGCCATTTTTTCTATCAACTGCATGTTCTTTCATTAATTATATTTTAGGAAAGTGTTTCATGACTTGTGTTAATCTCATCATTGATAGTCTTTAATCTAATAGTTTCTAATCAGGTAGTAGTTTCAAAGTAGTTCTTGCAGGCATCTTAATGGTTCCCAACAGAAAATGATCCTAATATCTTTTTTATTTGCTTGTTTCTATATATAGGTTCATTCTTGACAAGAAAATTGGCATTGGGCAGCCAAAGCGCATTGAGAATGCCAATATTTTGGTTGCAAACACTGCTATGGACACAGATAAAGTTAAGATATATGGAGCACGGGTCCGGGTGGATTCAATGTCTAAGGTTGCAGATATTGAAGCTGCTGAGAAGCACAAAATGAGAGAGAAAGTCCAAAAGATCATAGCTCATGGAATCAACTGTTTCGTCAACAGACAGTTAATCTATAACTTCCCTGAGGAACTCTTTGCTGACGCTGGCATACTTGCAATTGAGCATGCTGACTTTGAGGGAATTGAACGGCTAGCTCTTGTTACTGGTGGTGAGATCGCATCAACTTTTGATAACCCAGAGTCTGTTAAGCTTGGTCACTGCAAGGTCATTGAAGAGATTATGATTGGGGAGGACAGGCTAATTCATTTCTCTGGGGTTGCGATGGGGCAGGCTTGCACCATTGTCCTAAGGGGGGCTAGGTATGTCTTGTTTTTAACTACTTATCATGTAGGACTACTTTGTTCCATTTATGCATTTCAACTTTCCATAAATTGATTTGCTTTTTCATCCCTGCAGTGAGCATGTACTTGATGAGGCTGAGAGGTCCTTGCATGATGCCTTGTGTGTGCTGTCCCAGACAGTAAATGATACCCGTGTGTTGTTTGGAGGCGGATGGCCTGAGATGGTGATGGCCAAAGAAGTAGATGAACTTGCAAGGAAGACCCCTGGGAAGAAATCTCATGCTATTGATGCTTTCTCGCGTGCTCTGCAAGCCATCCCAACAATCATAGCTGATAATGCTGGTTTGGATAGCTCTGAGTTGATCTCTCAGCTCCGAGCTGTGCACCACAAAGAGAACTGCACTGCTGGAATTGATGTCATCACAGGCACCGTAAGTTCACAAAGACGAGAGTTTTCCATTCATAACAAATTATCTATTACAGAATCTGATACTAGTCAAATTGTGTGGTCCGCAGGTTGGGGACATGCAAAAGCTGGGGATTCAAGAGTCGTTCAAGGTGAAGCAGGCCATCCTTCTGTCTGCGACAGAGGCTGCGGAGATGATCCTCAAGGTCGATGAGATCATAACCTGTGCCCCGCGCAGAAGAGAGGATAGGATGTGATTAGACACGCTGTTTCTCGATGTAGTGGGGATGCTTGTTACCCTAGTTTTCAGGGTTCGGGGGCGTTCAAGTTGGTCAGATTTCGAGTGTTTTTGGCCCCTAAGAAACTGGGACTGTTATTTGGTTGAAACAATCAACCTTGGGCTATTTGAAACCAACAAGCTTAACATGACACTATTTAAGGAAACTGGGACTGTTATTTGGTTGAAACAATCAACCTTAGGCTTGTGTTCTTGATTCTCATGCTGTACCATTTGGTGGCGAAATACGTTGTACGATATGCTTGTGCCATCTGCCTCTACATGTTTTTCTATTCCTTTTTTTGACGTAAGAATGAGCTTGTCTTTATTTCTGGGACGTGGTTGCTACTTCTGGAGTTCTGGTGTTGGTTCTGAGCGTCAGGCCAGGGTGCCAATTGACCTTCAAACTTCAATGGTCACGTGTAGTGTTACCAGAAGACACTCTTCATATATGTATACACAGAATATGCATTCTGTTGCCGAAGGCCGTGGCATGACATGGCTATAATCCTCTGTTGAAGAAGTGGCGTGTAGATGTCTTATAAGGTTTGGGTTATTTGGATTGGTACCATTACGATTCTCAGAATTTTGCCTATTCTGAAACTTATTATTATAATTCTTCTTCTACCTGATACTTGTCATTTTCTATGTCTTCCGGGTGTCTGGGCCCACTGTCAGACCGTATACATGTACACATCTTTCGTATGGACCAAAACACCTCTGACTGCTTCTCTCCCTCCACTCACTGACGTGTGGGCCCCACACGTCAGATTCTCCTTCAACCTCCAGCAAGCCCATCCACGCCGTCGGATCTCGTTCGCTGGGATCTGCCGCCGCCGGATCCATGCCGCTCGCCTCCTCAACCAGATCCGCTCGCCGTCGGAGAGGAGGGTGCTGGATCCACTGCTGGGAAGGAGGTGGGGGCCGGATTCACCGCCGGGGACGAGGTTGGGGCCGGTTCCGCCGCCGGGGAGGTGGAGCGGGCCGGATCCACCACCGTGGAGGAGGTGGCGGCCGGTTCCACTGTCGGGGAGGAGGAGGGGGCCGGATCCGCCGCCGGGGAGGAGGAGGGGGCTGGGGCCGCCGCCGGGGAGGAGGAGCGGGCCGGATCCACCATCGTGGAGGAGGTGGCGGCCGGTTCCACTGTCGGGGAGGAGGAGGGGGCCGGATCCACCCGGCGGGGAGGAGGAGTGCCGCTGTGGTTTGAGGGAGGAAGGGCACCGCCATGGTGTGGGAACGAGGAGGAGTGGCTGGTGTGTGTGTGTGTGTGTGTGTGTGTGTGTGAGAGAGAGAGAGAGAGAGGCGTCGGTCGAGCTGAGGGAGGAGTGGCCGGTGTGTGAAGGAGAATCTGACGTGTGGGGCCCACACGTCAGTGAGTGGAGGGAGAGAAGCAGCCGAGGGTGTTTTGGTCCATACGGAAGATGTGTACACGTATACAGCCTGACAGTGGACCCAGACACCCGGAAGACATAGAAAATGGCAAGTATCAGGTAGAAGAAGAATAATAATGAAAAGTTTCAAAATAGGTGAATTTTAATAGTACATCTCAAAGTTCCGAGAATTGTAATGGTACCAATTCAAATAACCCTAAGGTTTAAAGGAGTCTTCTTTAGTAGTACTTTAAATTCCTTTAATTGCTACAAAATAGATGTCATACACTCATACTAAGGCCCCCTTTGGCACGGCTCATCCAAAACGGCTTCACCGGTGAAGCCAAAGCCGGTGAAGCCAGAAAAACTGGTTTTTTCAGCTTATAGTTCATTTTAACCCCGGCTTACAAAACGGCTTCACGCTATAGTGCCTCGATTTGCGCAAAATAGATGAAGCCGAAGCCGGTATAAGTCGTGCCAAAGAGGCCCTAAAAGATATTTGCAATACGAATCTATATTAATAATAACTGAGACACTACTCGTGCATAACTCTCTTTATCCTGAATAAATCAACTTAGTTGGCCTAAATCAAACTTTATTAAGTTTAACTAATTTTAAATAAAAGAGAACTAACATCTTTGACCTCAAAGTACAGTATGAAAATATATTTCATGTTCTATCTAACTGTACTTGTTTTATGTCACAAATGTTAGTTTTTTCTACAAAATTTGGTTAAATTTTTAAAAGTTTATCTTAAGATAACTTCTGAAGTTGATTTATTTAGAGAATGATTGAGTATTTATATATCTCTTATAAAAATAAACTCCACTATCTTTCAATCTTTACATGCAAGCTATCCATGTGTTATACTCTACTAAGTGTCACATCCTTCTTCTAATGAGTGCTACAACGTCTTCTACACTAAATACAATACTATTTCAGTTTATCAGCATACAAGACATCCATGTTATACTATTTGTTTGGCCGTCATATTCTCCTATTATTTCATCTAATGTTCTATAAGTGTTTTATATAATTTTTTAATTAGCTTACCCAGTTTGCAACATATCTCATACATGTAGTGATACAACCATTTTGTTTTAAAAAAGTCAAACAGCAACGCGCCGAATAATCTTCTGGTAATATATAATACTGTAAACCACTTCATATTAATCTTCTTGTAATATATAATACTGTAAACCACTTCATATAACTGGTCATTTCTGGCGTCGCCGTTGGTGACCGATCTTCCATTCAGATTCCGCCACCGCACACCACAGGCACAAGCGAAAACTGCGCTACTCAGGCTGCGTGTGGTTGATGGAGGAGCCACCACCAACCTGCACTGCACGCGGGCGGCGAGAGAGTCATCGGGTCCGCGTCTCCAGCCTGTCCGGTGGTCTTTCAGGCGACGATCACAGAGCCGCGGAGGTGAAGCGAAGTGCGGCGGGGGCGCGGCCAGTTACCGGATCATTCAACAGGTAGAGCTTCTGTTCACCTGTTGCTCCATCTAAAGTATAAGCCCGTCTGCCCGTGCATAGATTGTTCTTTGCAATCACAGTTCGCTGTTTGGATTATAATCCATGCTAATTTTGCTGCTAAGACTGCCGCACTAATCTTGCCCATAAGGCGTCTGAAACAATGCCTGAATGAGCACCACTGAACATTGGGGTTCCTTTTGCACACTAGGTGCTCAAACAAAATGCCGAGGCAGCAAGAACCCGTGTATAGAAGCCAAAATGGCAGCATAGGGGGTTAACATGCAACATCCACATTCAAAGAGTTTGAAACAGTTCGAACTGAAAGGTGCAAAGAAAATGGGAATTCCCTTGATGGGCACTCAAAATTGCTAGTTTTGTAACTATCCAGATTGGGATGCTCAAAATTGCTAGTCCAGTCTGGCAATTTGTGGTTTTAGTTGCAATATATTCAGCGTTTGGATCAGCATGACATTTACATACTGTTTTTTTAATGCATTTTGCACACCAGCCTGAGTATTTTAATGCATAGTGTCTCGATGTTACTCACTGATACCTATTGTAATTGGGAGGTAGCATATTGCTCACAAAATTGTTTTCTGCTTCGAGAACTGGTACAATCAGTGCTTGTCAATTGCTATTCATATTTTCTCAATCAAGCATCACCACTGGAGATTGAAAGCTGTCAACTTTAGACTTGCCAACCTGATCCAGTCTCCTTAATAAAATCTGTAGAACAAATGATTGATAGAACTTTCGCTATCTTTGAAAGCCAAGCTTTCCTCAATTCCTCTCTTTTCTTTCCCTTGGAATGCAATGAGTTCGGATGTTATTTTGTGGACTTGTTTTTGCAAATCAATTGATTGCTTTTAGAATTTTCTCTTGGTGTATAGCAAAATATGTTCAGTAAATGACACAATACATGAGTTAGTGTATTGTGATCGTTTTATGATCCTTTTAGACTTCTGTTGTTAAAGACAAATTCTGTTCCTTCAGTACTTTTCTCAGGGAAGAAAGTGTAGAAGGGTGCTCCAGAGTCAGAACAATTGTCAAATCCAGCAGAGAAGCTGGATCTGTGCACCAAAGAATCTCAGGATAGGGATGGCACTCCGGAATGCATTGGGATGGTCAGAAGGGGAGGTGATGCAGCCCGAGTCAAAGCCTTGTTCGCGGTTGATGAGTCAGACTGCTGGCATCTTCTCCACTGGTGGCGCCCTTGTTTTCTGGGTGCTGTGCCGCCTTCATTACGGTCATGACTCCGATCCATCTAATCACCTGCTTTTAAGTATTTTGTTCTGCCATTCAATGCATCGTAGCAGCCGATAAAGCTTGTTTGTTGTCTCCTCACTTCCTCAGTGTGCTTCGAGAGAATCAGAGGTTAAATCTTTGTGCTGCCTGACCCATGCGTATATTGTACAGGTCCGAAAATAACAGTTCCAAGGAGCCTCAGGTGGGCGTCATGCGGAGCGATCTCAATGAGCTTAACATCAGCCCTGCTTGTGCGGTCCTTCAGCCCGGAGTGCGAACCTCAGAATATAGCTGCTTACGACAAACCTGAACGCAAGACTGAATAGCATCAACAAGGTTCAGGCCACTGCTACTCTCCCTATCAAATTATGTGGTTTGTTTGATTCAGTCGAGGATATACTTGTATTTCCCTTTGTATGATACGTATTTTATGCATCATATCGCCATGTTGAGTGAAGAACTACATGCCTTTATGTTTTGCTACTATATGCAGACCAGCACGGGTTTGTGTGTGAGGTGTGTAGAATCAATGTTGATACCTGTTGTGAAACTGCAAACCGATACTACTTCACCTTTGTGGCTTTCTCTTAAGTCAAATCCTTTCTCTTTGACTAAGTTTTCTGTAAAAAATATATTAACATCAAATATGCTCAAATAAATGTGATATATGGAGAATTTAATAACGGAAATGCTATGGTGAGGATGTCTGCTTGTCCAGACGCTCCCGTTCAAGGGCCGCAACATCAGCCAAACGGTCCAATAGTTGTAGCTCCTCGTCCGTTCGCCCCTAATCGTAGCCTACTGTTTTCATTCTTCAGAAAAAAATCACCTCCCTTCGCCGCGCCGCCTTGGCGTTCTCCACGGCGGTCGGGGACCCGACGGCC